ACAAGTTAAAGAATCCGAAATTCGCACGTTTTCCAAGGGATATTTTATCTGAAGGGATGTGAAGCACACGGCGCATCCCAGAGTGGGCCCAGTTGGTTGCGCGCGCTTCAAGCTACGGCTCTCTGGAGAAAGAATCTCAATTCAGGAAAAATCAAGAGGATTCTGAAAGGGTCGTGTGAAATTACAGGGAGGAGTCCACTATTCAACAAGAAATGCAGCCTTCAGCGTCAAATTCATGAACATATAAGTGTTGAAGTTGAGATTCGTCAAACAATTTTACACTTGTTGGAAAGAAAAAAGCTCGTGGATTCCGAATCTGCTCCCATTTTGTACGAAATCGCCCCTGAAAGGCAGCTATAGTCGTTGAAATAGTGCCAATGCAGCGAAAAAGTACCTTTCGGCGGTACTCGGGCAAAAATCCTCAACGTGGCCATTTTTTAAATACTGGACGTATGAAGCTGTTTTAGTGTTTGATAGAGCAAATCTTCTAGTTTATGATGACGTATTAACTTTTCAGATTGGATGAGTTTGAACGGAGTTATGGCTTTGGAAAGTGTAAAAACTCGCACTCATCACGAATTTTCCTCGTTAATTTTGCAAAAATCCTCAACGTGGCCATTTTTGAATACTGGAACGTACCTAACATCCTATACCATATCAATGGCACGGAACTCGCTGCAACTAATTCTGTTAAAGATCTGGGATTCCTTGTTGATTCAAAATTGAATTTCGAAGAGCATTTGAAAAGTATTGCTTCTAAGGCGGAACAAAGAGTTTTTCTGTTGTTTAAGGCGTTAAAGTCTAAGGACCCATTACTTCTTATCAGAGCATATAAAATTTATGTGCGCTCGGTTTTGGAATACGGTACGTGCATTTACTATCCACACAAAAAGACGCTTTCTGACAGGCTAGAAAAGATTCAGAACAATTTCACACGAAAGATTTTCATTAGAGCTCTAGGTTTCACTTATAGAAGCATTCCTCGAGGACTGATCAGGAACAAAATTCTCGAATTGGATCCGTTACATTTGAGGAGAAAAAGAAACGATATTCTCATGGTACACAGCATTCTTAGTAAGCGAGTTGACTTGAATAGCCAACTCTTCTTCAAGCTTGTGCCCTCTATAACTAGGGGAGAAAAGTTCAAATTATTTTTTCGGCAACCTCGTACCTCCATTGGGCGAAACTTTTTCACTTTCCGGGCTGGAACGGAGTACGCAAGGATGAGCAAAACTATTCAAATACCAGTTTCTTTCACCAAACTCAGGAAAGTCGTGTCTCTTATGTGCTACAGTTGCGTTAAATACTCCTTTTGCTGTGTTCTAATTACATGTTGTTGAGCATGTAATAATTTGAAAGTTAAAGCTGATGTGGCATCAGTTTGATAGAGCAAATCTTCTAGTTTACGATGACGTATCAACTTTTCGAATTTGATGAAAATGAACCGAGTTATGGCTTTGGAAAGTGTAAAAACTCGTGCTCGTCATGAATTTTCCTCGTTAATTGATTATTTAACTTTTGTGATTTCGTTACTG